AAGCCTAAGCCTAAGCCTAAGCCTAAGCCTAAGCAAAGCGAGCATGAGAGTTTCCACGCAACGCGCAGCCCACGCAGCGATTACGCCTTAATCGATTGCGCGCTTTACGTGCGAGAGAGTTTTCGATTGTCGAGCGAGTTATAATTCAAATGAATCTACAGCAATTGTACTCTATAGCCGTACTTTCCTTGTCCCTTTAAAAAACTAAAGCGACGTGAACCCATCTCTTCCTTTGAATTGGTCTAGCCGAAACATGAAATGAAAAATATTTTGATTTTGATCCACGCGACAAAACACGTTTATAGAGGGCAGCAAACGAGCTCCTACGCCGCATCTAACATGAGTGGTCGTTGTCGATACCTAGTCGAATAAAGGGGTGGATTTTGGACCTTCCTAGTCCCTTTAATGCTAATTTATCCACCTAGTCATCCAGTAACTCCGGCCAGTTTTCATCCACAGCACACTTCACTCTCACAAAAAAAATGATTTCACGGGTAGTGTGCCGTGCCGGGCGGGGGGGGTGAAATCGAGAAGGTTTCATTTCGGGGTGCACCCCTTCTTTTCCCCTCTGGGTGCCATATAGAATGCAAACATTTCCCCCTCTTTGCTTCCCTCATTTTTTGGCCATCCATTCCTTCTCGTCGCCCCTGCCCTACGGCTCCAATTCTTTTTCGGTGGTGCGGATAGAAAGTAGGGGGGATGGCTCTCGCGTTTCATCATAAACCTGTCAATGCCCTTGCCTCGTCCTGCTGGGGTGGAAGTTACTTTTTTGTGTTTGTGTTTGTGGGGTGTGGAGGGTCGCAACAAATGCCCCCAGGATGCTTCCGTTTTTGGCAGCTCAAATGATTTTCTTGCTAAAGAAATTGAAATTTTTCTCTTTTTTTATGATTATCTAAGCTGTACTTTAAAATATTGTTAACTTACTAAATGCTCAGCGTACGTCTAAGCCTTGTAAACAAAGTTTATATTAAGCCTAAGCCAGCCTAAGCTAAGCCTAAACTAAGCCTAAGCAGGTGCTTTGCTTAGGCTTAACCTGAACTAACTACCTACATTAAAAAAGCTTAAATTACGTTCGAATGACTTAAAAATGTAGCTTTTCAATTGTTGGTTTTTGCGTTTATATCCCTTTCCCGTGAAGATCTGAGCTCCGTGTCTTCAGAATAAGTGGATTTCTGGTGTAGCCAATTCCGTGACGCCGCTAATTCCGCCGCAGAACCAATCGTTCGCAATCAAACTCAATTTAGCCGTGGACCGCCTATATTTTCTATATTTTGTGGATGCAGCGTGGCGGAAGCTCAAAAATTCATCTCATTTTTCATCACGCGATTGAACGGGGTCCTGGCTTAGAAGCTTTAACGGGGCTGGGAAGGCATGATGCGTTTTCTTCACAACGTTTTTCAGCCTAATTTTAGCCTGAATCGACCAATTCCCAAAACTAGGTCTCAACAGCTACGTGACACTCCTAACCACACGTACTAGAGGTTATGATCGTGTTTTCCAAAGCCCCTAGCTTCGAGCTGTTTTGTCGAGACCTAGTGGAACGGAGGGTAGATTCTAAAGCCTCTTATTGCCTTTAAAACTACCCATAAAGGGTCGTGCCTTCTTCCTGCTATTTTAGGTTAATCCTACCGTAATCCGGCCCAAACCGGGACTAAAATCTCTAGAGTTCCCTTGACAATCCCTTTAAACACTCCATTTCCAAAAACAAGGATCTTCTACTTGTTTTGGCCGTCCATTATTGTCCTCCGTCGAATGTTTCCATTCACCCCCCGAGGGACCCGATGAATTTTCCAGTATTTTCGGGCGTTTGGTTTGAGTCAGATTCTTCTAGGAGGGCCCGCTTCACGATCCACAATTCTGGATGACGAGCGTCCGGATTTAAGCTGTTCTAAAATACGCTAGAAAATGGAGACGACGGCAAATTCGAGGAGGGCGGCCTTTCAGCGGGCGCAGACTGTATCGGAGGGGACGCCAAGTGGATGTTGGTGAAAATCGGGGTTTTTGGGCCTTAAAAATAATTTTATTAATGCGTGGTATCTGAGGCAGTATCTGTTAAAACATCGAGTAAACATTGACAGTTACCAAGCGATTTGGACAAGGATTTTTCATTTACAATTTTTTTCCAGGCCAACAATCCATCCTTCGCCGTGGCAGCAAATCGAACAGAAGCCGTTCGCGCGGCAAAAACTGTAGGCTACAAACTACAGCTTTACACCTTACCTTTTTAAGCCGCAATCTCGATCTCCTCACTCAGCTTCTCCCAACGACAAGCCCTACTATCCTCCTGGCGAGCCATAAGGCCCGTTGCCGCGTCGTTATCCAGAAAAATCTTCCTCGAGCTGGAGGTGGCCTGTCCGAAAGTGAAAGATGTAGGTTTTCACTAAGTTTTTAAAGGGGTGGGAAAGCCAGCATCGACCCTTACTTTGACTAGATCTCGACAACTACAATTAACGCCTGAAGACAATTTCATGACGGATCATTAGTTGTTTTTAACCTTGTTTTTGAGCTTTACCTTTTTGGAGTATGTGCCTTATCGAGGGACCAGCTCAGGCTTTCCACTTTAAGGACCCCTAGAAGGCAGGTTTTTTAGCAAAAAAAAAACAATTTGTCTAGACCTAGTTATAGAAGGAATCGATTTTAGCACTTCCCAGTCCCTTTAAAAGATCGCGGTTTTGTGAGGAAATCCTTGAACGAAGTGATTATCATTAACGTCTTCTAATTATTTACAGCTCTTCTACAAAGCGGCCCTTGTCGACGCGTTCAACAATGAGGGCAATAACGCGGCGACACTTGACGAACACGTCAAAATGCTAGTGAAGTTTGTGGCCTCGCTTTCTTAGTATAAATTGATTTAAACAGACTCTTCGACGACCTGATCAACACGATCGACGACGAGGAGCAGTGCACATCACAGATGAAGCAGGTCGGTTCGCGCTGCCTCTTTTGACAATAAATAATGGGAGGGTATTTCCTGGGTGGGGAGCACGAGCGAGGAGGGGGAAGGAAATGGGTTTTTGGTGCCCCGGAATTTATGGGTACTCATGGATTAGTCGGGAGGTTGCAGGAAATGCAGGAGCAAGCGTAGGGGGAGAGTAGAAATGTTCAGAACGTCTAGTAGATTCGGGCTTTACGGTAGCATGATGGTTTTGATACATTAAGTAGGCAAAGTGGTACACCCAAAATTTTGCAGAGTGGAGAGAGAACGTGAGGGAAGAGAAAAGAGGTAGTCGTAGAGAGAGAGATAGCGAGAGTGAGAGAGAGAGAGAAAGAGATAACATCCTCGTCTAATGCGTCCACTAGACTACGTAGCGTATATATTTTTCAATTTTCAATCTCTATGGTTAAGAAAAAGCATATACTAGCTCGACTAGAAAATACTTTTTTAGGTCGGCTGCGTACACGCCGTACTGTCGCGTAGTTGCGGGTTCTCGGCCGAAATCTGGGAGCGGCTGGGCGAGGTGGCGATGGAGAGGATATGCTCCCACGAGAGCGTTATTGTAAGCGATTCTGCTTTATTCTTCAAAGTTCACATTTTATTCTAACGATTTCACTTCCAGAAATCCCGAGAAGCCGCCCGCGCTTGGCGGACACTGATCGCCTGCGCTGTTGACGAGATGAGGACCGGGTTCGAGGGGGAGGCACGCGTTTTTAGCAGGTAATCGAGAAAAGATGAAAAGATAGTAAATTATCTTTGGAAGTATCTTGGGTCCGCCAGTTTGTTTACCGATATCCAGTATCCGGATCTGTCCCGGAAATCCCATTTTTGCAATAGATGACGGTATGAAATGACGTAATCCCGCCTAGTAGTTATTAAAAATAATTAGAACTTTCTGAAAAAAATTGGATTTTGAGTCTGTATCCCCTTTGTCTGTCTGTTTTTGTCTGTTTATCTGTCCTCTCCTGTCCTCATCAAAACAAATCGCAGCAACCGAATGTTGACGGTGCCCGAATGCCCCGAGTAAGTACCCCGCCAGCCACCGCAACTTCTTCCACTTCGCATTTTTCGCAACTTTCCGAGCATTTCTTTTGTCATTGTCATTATTAGCGTTTCTTTTTTGCATAGCTAGTCTTGTTCTGGATGTTTTCAAGTATAGCCATATTTTTTTTAGAAAATCCTCCTCCACCGACGCGCTGGAGATGAACGACGATGGGTCAGAGTTGTCGCAGCGTCTGCAGCAGCTACGCGTTGACTACGGGCATGCGTATCCTACTTAAGGCGGTGTCAAGGGGAATTGGGCGGAGTTGCGGTAAATTATGGGTGTTAAATTTGTAAGCGTATCTTTGTGAAAGTTACTTAGTTAAAACTACCGTATCTCTCTTGAAACTGGGGGGAATTTGGACGATTTCGAGCGTTATAACATCTACTCCTTACGACCTTTTCAATAGTATTTTATATAAGGACGTCGCTAAATCTACTTAAATGAAAAGAATAACATAATTACTATAAATGAAACGTAAAACATCGTAAATACAATTTTCCGACGACATACAAATATTTTTTGAAAACCTGACTTCTGGTGGCAAATGAATTTTCGAATTTTCAGCCAAGTTTTGAGAAAATTTTAATTTCTAAATAAGTTTAACGTTGAAAGTTATTTTTTTACCGTAGCTCCGTCCCTTTCCTATAGCCCGTATGCAAATATTCTGCTTTTTCTCCGAATCTCCGATCTTCTTCCTCTCATTTTTTCACAGTTCCCTGTGATATCCACCATATACGTTTTCACGCCTCGGTTTTGCTTGATCATTATTTTTATTATTCTTTTTTTAATCTTATTCTCATTCCTCCTGATTTGTCATTGGGCATATCTTTATTATATTTTCATATTAAATCGTTTTGACTGCACAAAGAAAAACTCGAATAAAGCATCGTATTTTGGGGGGTTTTTTATATCACAAAATTGGCTCGGCAGGTATTTTACATAGAAAATGCGGCGTGGCTTGGGGGATACCGGTAGGGGTGAGATTTTGAGCGGACGGCTTCCATCGCGTGATTGCGATTATTTGTAGGGCATTTTCTTCGCCGAAATGTGCAGCTTGCCCTTGCTGGAGAGGTGGCTTCTTAGGGTTCGAATGTCAATGTCGTCGGGAAGACGGTAGGACCTGAAAAATTCAGGAAGATCTTTTTCCAACGCTTTTGACGTATTTAAAGTCTTTCGGATTTTCTCGGGTGTAAATTTTGAGTAGAAATCATCCTTACAGTTTTCAATTCAAGAAAATTTCGAAATTAACATAAAACCGAAAAATTACGATTTTTTTAAAAAGCTTGAATGGAGATAGACATTTTTGGCTTTTTATTTAATACGTTTCCAGCAAATTTCAACCCCTAGCAGATTATAAAAGTCAGACCTAAACAATCATTAAACCAATAAAGCTTAATTGCACCCACCTTGTGATAACCCGATAAACATATGGATCATTCTTCTGTTGAATATGCTCAAAGTGAATCTCGAGGAGTCCGCCGATTACCCGTACCTGGAAAAAAAGTTTTATACAGTAAATAAGTCATGATCAATCAGTAAATCAGAGAATCATCATATTAATAGCGAGAAATGATGAGGATGCTGCTGAAATCATAAATTTTCTCACCTGTATTTCGTTTGGCTGGAATGACTTGGCTTCAAGGGCAACATCAAATTTCTCCGTGTTGTTCGTCACCTAATTGGGACCTTAAGATTTTAGAGCAATCAATAAATTGATTTTTAAAGCGGTTAGGAAGCTTCAGAATATGCGACCCGTCGACACACGTCGACCGCAAAACAGGCGATGCTCATATGCTGATTCCTGGCCAGTTTGAACCCAGAAAGCACGGCGTCTTAGGCCTTACTTGGAGCGCGCACGGGGGATCGGGAGGGACTGGGCTAGGCCACGCCCCCTTTTGGTCCCCAAAATGTATGGGAAAAAGCTTTCTAAAGGCTATAACTTTTTTTCGAAAAACAATTATTAGGTTGGAACATAAGTTCGCGCAATCGAACTTTGGAAATTTCTTTCTGAAAATTTAGTGGCCAGATTCCGATGTTCCCTCTTTGCATTTTTCTGTTGGGTTCATGAGTATGTGGGACCAAAATTACTGGTTTTTAGCCCCAGTAGTTTTGAAGATTTTTGCGTTTTTCTCGAGGGCACTTCAAATTTTTGACCCGGACATCTTTCCGAACCGCCATAAAGTCACCATAGGAACTGATCATCACTATAATAATAAGTTAAATCTGTCAGCTGCATGCCGAATTAGCCTAAAAAGGAAGCCAAATTTGTTTTCTAAAGGCGGGCCGAAGCGATTTTTCATTTTCGCCTAAATCTAGCTTTAAAAAATTCTAATAGGGAAGCAACGCGATTCCGTCCCACGCATCGAATAGAGAATTTTATTGCATACCCGTTCATCCAAAAAACATTTTGGTTCTTGCCCGTTTTCCGGTCCGAAAATTACAAGGAAAGAAAAATATTGCGCGAACTTTAGTTCCAACCTAATAGAAATGTTCCGCCTGGCGATCGATAGAGAAGACTCTAGGGAACATTTTAGTCAAAGAATTTGGGCGATCGCCGGGAAAAATAAGGACTTGAAACGTTTTGAAGCAAAAATCAAGATGATTTTCTGATTCGGCCTCCGGGCCGCCCCATCTGTTTAATTTTCTACCTGGAATTCGCTAAAGATTTGTTGTTGGTGCCTTGTGCAAAAAAAGCAAAACGGTGTCGCGTATTTATGCGAGGGGAGGAATCGAACCAGGACCCCGCGCCCGTCACTCCGACCGCCGCCTTAGACCATTAGGCCATGCCCGTTCCCACCCCCCGTGCGCGCTCTAAGACACCGTGAAAGAACGTACCTTAACAATACCATCAGTCGCATCCTGCAGCGGCCAATCCCAATATTCTTCATTGGCTTTGAGAATCATATCCGCGCCACCCTCCAAATGACGAGGGATCGGTGCCTAATCTAAAATTTCGGTTAGGTTTTTTGTTGATTTTAGGAACGGGGAGGTGAAAGGGGAGGAGGAAAAGAAAGTCAAGGGTTTGTCGGTAGCCATAGAGAATGGATCGGCACTCGAGTAACGATTGGAAAAAACTGGTGTTCAAAGGAAACTAGAGTTCACCTGAGAGAGTTGAGAGCAGTTATCGACACGCAAAAGTCGATTTTTCCGGTAAATATAAGATTAAATTCGCTATAAATATGGTAATGACAGTTTTTTAGTATATTTAATTAAGAAGCGTGCGATCACAAAACCAACATGGCAAGAAAAATGAAGATCTGCGCTAAATAGAATTTTTAATCAAAGCCAAACTTTCAAACAACACCCGAGGGCTTATAAAAAACGAAATAAGCAAATTAGTTATTTTTACAGATGACAAAAAGCGCCAAATTGCCAATGGCAAACGTTCGGCTTCAAGCTACAGGTGGCGGAGGGTGGTGGCCGGTCGGGGATAAAAGTTCTTTTGTGAAAGGCCCTCCGTGGCCATACACACTTTACACTACCATCCCAAAGGCTGGCAGGAAGGCATGGAGACCCAACCCACAAGCACACAAGGGATCTCTCTCTCTCTCTCTATCTCTCTCTATTTCTTTAGCATTTGTATTTGTAGCGAGAGCATGCTAGTAGTCCGGGGCACACCGGCCTGACAATTGCAGCCGCCCGCCCATCAATACAATTGGGCCATAAAAATGGGCAAGGGGCATGGATTCCTAGCTTTAGCTTAAGCCTAAGCCTAAGCCCATGTCTAAGCCTAAGCCAAAGCCTAAGCCGAAGCCTAAGCCAAAGCCTAAGCCGAAGCCTAAGCCAAAGTCAAGCCTAAGCTTAGGCATACCTAAGCCTTATCCAAATTTTGTTAGCATAAGCATGAGACCTAAGCCAAGCCGTAAGTTATTTTCTGACTCATTTCCGTATTGACCGGCTTGCGAAAAACGCGCCCGCGTGCTAAAATAAGCACTTGGGCCCGGGGTGGAATGGCGTCATCAATCGGTAAACTTTGAGGGGTGGAGACGATCCGAGATCTAGGGTCTTGGGATCTGGGCGGCCACTCAGCTGGCCGTGCTGCACAAAAAATACACGCCCACTACTACACGGAAATCGGCGGAACGGGCAGAATTTGAAAAAATCGTTAAAAAGCGGGACTCTAATAGGAGTTGCTTTAGTGTTTTTATAGTTTAGGGACGGGACCTGACCAGGTCGATACCGAAAAATTCAAAAGCCGCTTTCAAAAAAGCGCTGATCGGTAACGTTTTCGAGGGAATTGAATTTTTAAGAGGAATAAATTGTGTTCATCAGTCGTCATCGTTCAACTCCAAAGTAAAGCCCAATTCCACGACCGAAAGCCTCTGGTGTGAATGGCCCGTATTTCAAAACCGGATGCCCCGGGGCCCTTTCGCAAGTTGACGCTCCCTGGCCACCTGACCATCCCCCGGAAACTGGGAGCTCAAGCTCAAAAAAATTGCAGGCTGATGCTGGGTGGCGAAATTTCACTTGGAGCTTCGAGAGGTCGGAAATATTTTCATCGAAAACCCAGCTGATCCTTGGACTCTTACCCCGATTGATAGCTAAATCACGCTACGCTACCTCCAACCAACATTCCCAAATTTTATTTTTTTTTCTGCAATTCGATTTTTTATTTGTTTGTGTTTTCACGCTGTTGTATATACCTAGTCACTAAAACGGATTAATCCTCACGTCTTCTACTCTTTTAAGGGGACCGTGACAGCAAGGTTTTTGGGTGCGCTACGTTAATACTATACAAATTATGTATACTCCGCAAAGCACATTCAAAATCTCTTTATCCACTAAACGCGACTATCCTTGTGTGGCTTTTTTGGCAATTTGCAGGCACATCACCCGTGTACGGTAAATCAAGCGACTAACAGAATAAAGGTGAAGAATTCAAGAAAATCGAAGCGAAAATTGATTTAGGCAACCGGAAATGACACATCGGGGAGAAAACGAGGTAACTAATCAATTATGAATATAATTTGGTGTCCTGAGATCATGAAGAGGAGAGAGAGAGAGAGAGAGAGAGAGAGAGAGAGAGAGAGAGGGCAAGGGAGATAGTGTAGAAATTTAAGAAAAACGTGAAAATGCAAAAACATGAAATTCTTCTACTCGATAGTCAAAGGCATCGACGAGTAGCCATTCTTTTCGAGGGCTGGGGTTTGAGTGACGCTACAAGATGCGAGGAGATGATCTTTGGCGGTGGAGCGGAGTCTGGAAAGGAGAGAAATTAAATTATAGGAATGTGATTCCGTTTTATGCTTTTAAGTAGAAGCCGAGCCTAAGCCTTGGCCCAAGCGGAAGCCTATTTCCACGAAAAACCAACCTCCTCCGCTTCTTCGCCGCTGTCCCCAACTCGTGGATCCACACAAAACACGGCGAGCCGAGTAGCGCCTTTCTCCAAAAATTGCGATAACTTTAATTTTACGGAATTTCCTACCGTAATCTTCCGTTCATTGCACAGAATAGGAAGAAGATGAGGCAGGCTGTCAACAACGTCATCATCTCGTTGAAATCGCCGAGGTAGTAGTAGAACGACACCGGGGATATCGTGTTGGCCACGTTGAGGAGTCCCTGGGGGAGCTCGACGCAGATGAACATGAACATTATCATCTGAAAAATGGGAATATGTAAATGTAAAGAGTATGACGCGCTTTAATTTCGTCAAAAGCAAATTATTAAAGCTAGAAATCCTGATTTTTTTGGTTGGCAAATCTCGCTTCGCTCACCAAAATCATCTTTGTCGTTCTCTGGTACTGCTGATCCCTTTCAAGTGTAGAGAAACGAGCACTGATTTTTCTAAAACCAAAATTAATTAAAAAAATTCGTTAATCGATACCTAATCTCTTTCAACTGCCTCAATATCAGTAGCGTCATCACGCATAGGATCGCACTGGGGCCGAGCTTGGCGCAGAGGTTAAACAGCCAGTGGCACACCTTAAAACGAGACGATAAAATATTTCTCATAATTTAAAGAAAGATGCTATCGTAATTAGTTACGGTAGCCACCTACCGTTTGTAGCGTGTAGTTTTTCGTGAATGACAGCTCGTAGGAGCTGACGTTGGCGAGCTGCGGGAATTTCGCCGCGCACCCCTCTTTTTCGGGGACCTAAAATTTATGGTTCGGCTGTATATAATATGGATGCTTGTAACCTAATTTGCATATTTCAAGCTTTTGTACTGCATTGACTGCATTGGAAAAAATATTTAAGTCCAATTTACGTTTCAAAATGCCAAAACCTAGATAAAATTAAGTTTTTGCGATTCTGGGTAGAATTTTACACTTATAAGAATTTTTCAAACTTTAGCGAGATCTAAGATTATTTTAAATGAGAGTTTTATCCTACTATATATAAAAAAATAGTGTTTGTGTGTGTGTGTGTGTGCCACTTTGCATGCAACTTCCGTCAGCGTGTTCCAGTAGTATCTCAAGAAGGGAAGGGTATTAGGCTACGTATGATACGTCATTAGGTGCGTAATGACCTAGGGATAACTGCACACTCAGCAAATTTTCAAAAATTAACGGTTTTTAATGTTAAAATTAAGTTTTTATTGAAAAATCGAGAACCCTCTTTGTTAGGAAACAATTAGCATACTCCGGAAGTGGCGGTATGCATATATAAGGGAAAAGAGCGATCGTTTCTCATTTTTGTGTCATCGAAAACGCGAGAAATATGCAAAATGAAGAATATCATGGGATCAGACGGGGACCAGGGTTGAAAAAGTCGCGTAGCGGCTTTTCAACCCTGGTTACCAATAATTATATAGCGCAAGAAGTTATTCTTAAAAGACAATATGAAAAAACTTAGACGAAAAAGATTTTTTAGCTGGCGATCTTAGCGTTCTTTTACTGATGTCTGGGACTTCTCAAACGAGATTCAGTTAATGTTAATTTTCTCAAACTATTTCGTAGCTACAAATCTTATTTTTGCATACGCTCAACCTCATCCCCCTCAAAAAAAAAACCCTGACTCACCTCGACAATATCATTCGTAAAATACACGGGCCACCCAATCAAAGCCGCGAGCGAGTAGATGATAATTAGGGACACGCGGCATTTCTGGAAAAAAAAACAAGGGATTCAATTCAATGCCTTGTGACTTTTTTTTGTTAATTGAGTTTCAGGGTTTTACACCGCATTAAAAAAATCCTATCCTATAAGCGAGAAAAGTATGTTTGTTTTCTGTACAGCCGATTTCTCGGCCGTCAGGCCGAATTTCCGGCTGATTTTTGGCATGGAGGTGGAGAAACACATTTGTCAGTGACGCATTTTTTTGTTTTGCGAAATTCCTTCATTTAATGGTTTTACAAGCAAAATAGTGAAAAATCCTTAACAGCTTGGCCGAAAAAAGGTTTGTTCAGAGGATATCTCCCGAGCCAAATGGAATTAGGCGCTAATTTTTGGAGGGCAGATTGAAAATTACATTCTCCTGTGATATAATTCTGCGTTTTGGCAGATTTTGTAAACTAAAATTTTTATGAGCATTTTTTCAAAAAGTCCTTAACAAAACGGGCCAAGAGCCGTGGTGTCCGGGGCATAAATCGAAGCCCAGATGGAATTTTGGGCTGGAATTTGGAAAACTTATGTATTCGATGGTGGGGATCATGCGCATCTTATTATCTTTACAAATTGTCAGCTGATTCAGACTCGAAAACCGAATTTTGTAAAGTGACTAGTAGGCCTCCCTCTGGGATCATGGGTCGCCATTCTCTTGCCTCCCCCCCTCCCCCAGGGGAGAAGAGGCCCTTCCCGCTGCCTATTCCCAACGTCGCGGTGGTGCAGTGCATTTGCGTCTATCTGCCAGGCGCGTAGTAGTGAGTTCGGATCCTGCCCGGATCTAACTTTTTGCTTTTTGGTAGTTCAGCAACAAAGCATATTTCTAGGCTCTCGGTTTGCGGGGGATAGGCCTGGCCCGCGCTCTAGCGCCGCAGGCCAAGGATGTGTCCTGGACCCGGGCTCTTGCGCCGCAGGCCAAAGCCTGGAGAAAAACCAGTAACTAGCGCCGCAGGCTTACAAATTCTTGCGCAACGCTGGCTCTGGCGCCGCAGGCCAAAGAATGGTTTATTTACTCCGGTTCTTGCGCCGCAGGCCCAATATGGAGAGCAAAGTCAGTAGCTAGCGCCGCAGACTCAAGGTGTCGAACGTAGCCCGCGCTCCGGCGCCTCCGGAGGAATGGCTCCGGGGACTCCGGCACTTGCGCCGCAGGCTTGAAGAAAGGAAAGGGTGAGAATTCGTGGTTCTTAGACGGGGGTCCAGTGGAAAATGGCCGCGAAGCGGGCTTTTTCCACTGGTAATAGAATAATGAAAATTACCGTCTGGGTGAACCAGGGAAGGGACGAGTTGATGCCGGTGAGACGGCGCAGGGAGCAGTATCTGAACAAGAAAAAAGATAATTTTGAAACACAAGGTAGATTCTCAAAGAATCTCTGCTAACTTGCCAATTCCGGCAAATTCTGCAAAGTATCGTTGCTAGCTTGCCAAATCCGGAAAATTCCGCCAAGAATTTTTGCACTTGCCAGGTATGAAAAGTGTTGAATATCTATGAAATTTCACCAGAAATTACGCTAGTTACCAACGCTCTTAAAATTCCGTAAGGAAATCGCTGCTAGCTTGCCACGCCAGGCAAATCAAAAACTTGGCAAAGAATCTCTGCTTGCTTGCACAAATTTTTAGGGCATGGTTTTTTGGAGTTTAATTTAGGCTTTATCCTCGTTTTCGACAATAAAGATATCTCTGCTCCTTGACCCGGACTTCATACGATCGCCGATTTTGACCCTTACCTTATTATCGATAACGCCACCACGTGAAACACGCCGGTCATGTGCACTAGCACGGACAGCGTCACCGAGGCGTGCATTGTTCGGGCTGGAAAAACCATAAAATCCATACAGAAAATTGTGAATCAAAACTACTTCTTCAATTTTCATAATCAAAAAGCTTACCCATTAACTGCGAAAAGAATAGCGGTGAGCACAACTCATCGCTGGCCCATTTGAAGAGGGTGGCGTAGAGGAAGTTGGCGCACAATGCGAGTTGACAACTAAAAAAACCCCCCTTTAATTTTGTTTATAGATTCTAGATGTATAATTGATTTATTTAACAACACCATCCCTTTAAATCTATTTCAGCCGTTAGTTGGCTTCATCCTCGACGAAAAACTTAACCCCCATTGAATATGACGCCCGGAAATGAGCCCCGGCTCCCTGAATCTATTAGCGGATCCTGGCTAACAAGTTTTGGTTCCCTGAGCTCCTCGTAATTTTTAAAGATCAACCGGGGGTCAAAACATGATTTTACGATGACGATTTTTGATTTCCTACTTCTTGTTAGGTCGGTAGGAATTCATTATCTTTTTGACCAAAAAACCGATCGTTTTGCGTTAATTTCGTGAAATATGCGTACCACGACATGCTGATCAGCAGTGTGTTTGTTGGGTTGACCATTCTGGAGAGGGTGGCGATTGATAGAAGATGACCAAGGGATCCTGAAAGTGCGCGTTGTATCCAGCATTAGGACCAATTTCTGCTATGCAGGCGAAAAATCATATCTTATGGTTAGGATATCTGCGTTCACGTCAATACTACGAATCACTCCTGTTGACGTTTCGAATTACACCTATAAACGCTATAAAGCCCAACTAAAACGCCACGAATTACACCTATGGCAACTAATAAACAAGCAGCTGAACCCCCAAAAACTTCCACATACCTGCAATACACAAAACGAGCACTAGGGCCGGGTGTACGGTACTGCCATACCAAACGAGTATCCCCGTCATCGTGTCCATTTTCTGAAAAGGACCAGGATTAGCGATATTTTGAAAAACAAAAAAAATTAAGGAAAATGTAGGGAACTGAAAACAGTACAGAAAGTCAATGATGGCAAAAAGCATTTTAAGTCAATTTAGAGGTTTTTTTATAACCGAGGCAAATTACGATTTTCAAAGGCAAGAATAGCAGCAAAAATTCGTCTTGAAAATTGACCACGCGAAAATTACGTAGCACTGCGTGGCCAAATAACACACGAGGTTCATTGCATAGATTAGATGCAATTTAGGGCGGAATTTTACATGACCGTGATGGGGCAGGGGAAGGGGGGGGGGCAGGTGAAGCTCTGGAACGGGGGCGAGCCTCAGGTGAATGGGGGGAACCCCCATAACCCCGTTTGATCTTTTCTGAAACGTTTTCGGGTGAATTCCACGAATTTACAGTGAGCACGAGGGTAAGGGAAGCTTAAGCTCAAGCCTAAGCCTAAGCCTAAGCCTATGCCTAAGCCTAAGCCTAAGCCTAAGCCTAAGCCTAAGCCTAAGCCTAAGCCTAAGCCTAAGCCTAAGCCTAAGCCTAAACCTAAGCCTAAGCCTAAGCCTAAACCTAAGCCTAAGCCGAAGCCTAAGCCTAAGCCTAAGCCTAAGCCTAAACCTAAGCCTAAGCCTAAGCCTAAGCCTAAGCCTAAGCCTAAGCCTAAGCCTAAGCTTAAGCCTAAGCCTAAACCTAAGCCTAAGCCTAAGCAGTGAGCACGAGGGTAAGGGAAGCTTAAGCTCAAGCCTAAGCCCAAGCCAAGCCTAAGCCTAAGCCTAAGCCTAATCCTAAGCCCAAGTCTCAACCGCGGCCTAAGCCCAATCCAAGGCCTAAGCCTAAGCCAACGCCTAAACCAAGCCTAAACCTAAGCCCAAGCGTCTGCCTAAGCCTAAACCTCAAGCTACAATCAAAAATTGTGACGAATTATGGCTCATTCGATCCTTGGTTAGGGGAGGGAGCTTCATTAAACCGCCTAATCAGACGACGCGCGATTCGGTGGTGGATAATTAGCGGGGAGGAGGAGGAGTAGGAGCAGCAAAAAGCTTTCGCGGAAGAGGAAGAGCTATGTAACACTAGAATACACGTAGAAATCGAATTTTTAACGATTTTGCGTCTAGAACGAGCTGAGCAGAGCAAAATCGGGGTGTAAGAACAACATCTTCGCATGTTCAAGATGCGGTCAGAGATGCGGGGAAGGGAAAATTGTTCTTGCCTGAGAAACTGGACTGCACTACACTTGAAAAATCTATGAAAAAAACGGTGAAGAAAATCTATAAAAATTACGAAAACAGGTTTAAAATCATCAAAAATCTGCACAAAGACAATGCTCAAAAACATAGGTTTAATTTAATTTAATTTAATATTGAAATCGATCAAACTAACCCTCGATCACACCCCCGCTTCAGTGCAATTTGATCCAAAATGACAAAGCTAAAAATCTATATCCGCCGATCACGATAAACATCATTTTACAAAAAAATTTTCTTAATCTGAGATTATGCAGATTGAGGCCAAAGACTGCAAATCCGGCCCTTCCAAATTCTCAAAAGATGTGTAGGTGTTTTGACGTTTTTTGGGGGCCCCAGGATTTCGGGGGTGGATTTACGCGGATGGGTAGATCCGACATCACCGCCACAACTTGGAACAATGCAGCGGATTTTAGGGGGAAAAGGGGAATTACTAGTAGAGTCGTACAAAATATCATGTGCGGTAAATTTTGATCGGTGGGGTTTTGTTTTTGAGGGTTGAGCAGTAAAAGACCAACTAAAAGTGCAAAAAATTAGGGCGCAAAATTTCAAGCGAAACGAAGCCTCAGGCCAAGCCTAACACAAGCCAAAGTCTGAGCCTGAGCCTATGCCTAGACCTCAGCATAAACATGTGCCTAAGCTTAAGCCGAAGCCTGAGCATAAACCAAGGCAGTGAAGCCGGTACTAGACTGTTAGCGGGGGTGGGACCAAAATTATAAAAATTATCAATACAAGGTAAAAATTTCAAATTTCAGAACTTTTGTACTAGTTTTATCTAGCGTATCAAATAGGAAAAAACTGTTCCAAACATTATGGATTACATTATATATTATGGATAACAAGTAAGTGAAGACGAAAAATAGAAATTGGCTACTCATCGCGTACAAATTTTACGCCTCCCCCAGTAATAGCACAGTACCCTGAACCCCAGGCTTTAAGCCGAAGCCGAAACCTGAGTCAAGCTTAAGCCCAAGTGTAAACCTCAGCCTAGTTCTAGCCCAAAGGCAAGTCTGATGTGGGCAAAGAATTCTAACCGCTGAAAAACGATGTATTTAGCTTCTGCAAAATTTCTCCGAAGCCAGCTGCTTTTCGGAAAACCCCAAATTTATGCTGGCTATTTTGAGAGGCCAATGCCATTTTGCTGATGCTGAAAATTATAAAAACTACCTTTCAGCTTCAAGTGCTTTTGAAAATAGAAAACCGGACGAATCGTTCCTTACCCTCTACTGCCAAATTTGGTGGTAACCTGACCCCTTCTGGGCATTTAGGCATTTGAAAAGGGGGCTTGTGACCCAATGGCATCTCTCTCTCGCGCGCTCTCTCTCTCTCTCTCTCTCTCTCTCGTCCCTATTTTCAGAAATACCATAAAGATAAGCATGCGTGACAGACTCAGGTGTGAAAATCGTAAAAACGAGAAAACAGTCGTCTGGTCGGTGAGCGATTTTTTGAAAGTTTAAGGTTCAAGAGAATTTTAACGTTTTCAAAAGGCTCTAGCATACTCTAAGAACGAGTTAAGGAAAGTTTGAAGCCAAAATGACCCGAATATGACCCCCACCCTGCGATGTCGAAAATTCATGAGTTCGGCGAGGGGCGTAGGGTCGAAAAATGCTTACTTGCAAGTTGTGGTAAAAGGAAACGGATGAGAAAAAGTGTTGTTTGCCCAAGTTGGACGCCCCATTTTGAGTATATCACGTTGTGAAGATTATTAAATTTCTTTCAGGGGTGTTTAAACGAAGCTGAATGGGATGGCAATCTGAATTTAGCCGTTTATGGTTCGGCGTTTTAATTTCTAATATTCGAAAAATACCATCAAAAATTACCTAATTTAATACGGTATCAACAAACAAGTCCAATACACACTTGTTCCCAAAGATGAGTGCAGAGTGTACGGGACACCCCCTCTCGTTCCTCCTTGCCCCCGTTTTCGTTCGAGATGCGTTTCTCGCCCCCAAAAACCCCCGTACTGTCCATTTTTCTAAACAAACAAAAATGATGGGTCGCCGAGGAGCCGCGAATGCTCTTCGGTCTGAAAAACTGGGGCTGGAAGCCTGGCGTTATATGTTGTAAACAAAAATGCGGGTATCCCCCGAAATCCGAGGCGAACTTGGCAAACGTGTGGAAACGGGGGCGCTCTCGGTTTGTGTACTTTGCATTAATACTTTTGGGGGCCTAGGGTGAATGGGTATGGCTGTAGCTGCTCTCTCTCTCTCTCCCTCTCTCTCTCCCTCCCTCTCTCTCTCTCCCTCTCTCTCTCTCCCTCTCTCCCTCTCTCCCTATCAAACTTTAGCTGCTATAGCTCGATTCTCTAGCTGTTCGGGATTCGTCAGTCGTTTGTTTCTAGCCATCTCCCTCTCGCTCTCTCTCTCTCTCTTCGCTCTCTCTCTCACTCTCGCTCTCCAGCAAGTAGACGGCATGCCGAATTTCCGATTAGCCGCTTGACGCCGGCGGAATAATTCGGCGAATAATAAGGAGGGGAAGACGGGCAGCTTCCAGGATTTCGGTGGGAATCTGAACCACAGGGTCGAGACGCTCGGCTAGAGATGAGAAGGTTTTGCAGTGGAGTCTGGGGAATTTAAAGGGATAGCGTAGCGTAGCGTAGATACATTATCGGGCATGCCTCAAGAGCGAGAGAGAGAGAGAGAGAGAGAGAGAGAGAGAGAGCGGCAGCGGAACGTCTGGATGAAGAACCCCGTGGCAAAAATATGGAAGATTTGGACCGGATGGCTGGGGGGACAGGGAGAATCGGATTTCATTGCCAAAAACCACGGGTCCAAACCCCATTGTGCGGGTGGTTGGGGTGGTCTCTTAGCATTTTTTAAGGATTTATAGCCTCCCCGATTGCCAGGGTTTCCGAGCCTGAATGACATCTTGGGGCCTGGTTGATGGCTTCATGCGGCTGTCTTTGCCTGATTTTTGAATGAAGTGCTCCTTTAAGATGCGAAAACTGCCTAGCGCCCAAAATTAAATTAACCAAAATTTAGTTCTTTCCCAGATAAAATTATAGGTTCCCGAGGCGAAAGTTCCAAAAACCTTGTCACCTTCGAGACGGAAGCTCCACCAGGTTCGGCGGCCCTGGAATTCGGCGATTCCTGATTCCTGGAAGACCAGGAAAATTCGGCGATATGAAAATTCGGCGAAATGAAAATTCGGCGAAATGAAGATTCACCGAGGAAGCGATATCTTAGCGCCCCAACTACGCCTTAGCACAAATGACGGCCAGAGCGGAGCGTAAAGGTCGTCCCGGTTGAACCAGGAACCCTAGTTTTACGGCCGTTTGCAAAACTTGGAAGGAACCGGGGCCCTTCCCGGCAGCAATCCGTTTGAGTACACGGAACGAACAGGGAAGCCAACCATTTTTACTGCCGACAATTTTCGGGGTAAAAAATGGTCATTTCGTTGATAGTGCTGTGTTTTGGATAAAGCGGCTTCGAAGAGCACCGGGAAGGGTTGATGCCGGGTGGTCAAAAATGGCTTCCTTGTGATTTTCTAGGTTCAAGCGCAGGGCAAGGCATGGATATGGATTTTTTGTTTCAAAAATTTCTACCGGGTTTACCTTGGCCGCGACACGCAACGCAAGCATCCCCCATGCCTTTGCATCGCGTAGCCGTTTTACTACAAGTGACCAATCCACGCGGGTTGCGTATAGCGGTCAAGGATATATACTCGTAACCGATTACACAATGGAAATTCAGAGCGCTGCGCTGTGTTGCGTGTTGGCTCGAGAGAATTGTTAGGTAGGCGAA